GGAGATAAAATCATGATTCTGTGGGGACTGTGGTTTCAGGCTTCTGGAAGAAATATTGGAGAACTGGGAACCTTCCTCACCAGGCTTTCCAGAAGCCTGACACTAACTCCCACTTGTGTAAGAATAAGCCCGTGCATAGAGCGCTCACTGCGTGTCAGGCACTAAGCCCTTAAGCTACATCATCCTACTCAACTTCATACCAAGGCAAGGAAATCTGTGTTGCCCATTTTCCAAATAAAGAAATAGGTGCAGAAATGTAATTTCTTTCCCCCAAGGCCACATAGCCAGTAAGTAGCAGAGTCAGGATTCGAACCCACAGCTTCTCTAGCTCCGGCACCAGGGCCCTGCTGGTTCTGTGGAGCCAAGGACAAGGACTCTAAGAGCCTCCTCTCCCATAGAGAGAGGCCCCCGCCAGGGAGGTCTCTGGGGCAGCCCCGCTGGGAACCAGCCCACCGCAGCCTGGGCAAGCAGCTGGGGCCAGGCCTCACGTCTGTGCAGTCACTGCCGGGCTAATTTTACCCACCGCGGCTGGTGTGCGTGGGCAGACGGACGCGGGACTGTTTGTTTTCCTTGGGAATCCATGTTTGAAGTCCTGACTATTTTTAAAATGGGGGCCAAGAGCATAACAGCCACTGCCCACGGTGACCACCACACCAGTGTCCTGCTGTCACCGCGGGCGCCAGCCCAGGCCACTGCCCCTGGCTGACACCTTGGGAGAGCAGAGCCCAGCTGAGGCTGGCCTGGGTCCACCATCCCAGGCCTGGCATCTCATAGGCCCCCTTCCCTACCTTTCCCTCTGTTTCCCACCTCAGAACCTAGGCTTTGCGGGGTGGAGAGGGAGCCAGGGGTCCAAGCTGGTGGCAGAGGTGGAGAAGCAGCCCAGGACCAGCTGGGGTCAAAGGGATCTGGAAAGGCCCTGGGCTCTGAAGTCAGACTTGGGTTTGAAACCTGGCTCTGTCGCTACTCACTGACCAAGGGCCTGTCACTTAACCTCGCTGAGCCTCAGTTTCCTTATCTACAAAATGGGAATAACATCCACTCATAGGACTGTCACAGGAGGAAATGCAGGAACCCAGTGTGGACCCCAGCACCCATGGGAAAGCTTCCCATGGAAGGTGCCAGAAGTAATGAAAGTAAAATATTTGCAGGAAGGCCAGGTCCTCACTCCCAGCTGTAGCAGGAGCTCTGGGAGTGGGGCAGGTCATGAGGGGACGGAGGAGGGGACTCTGGGCCACGCGTCCCTGCCCCCCCATTGTTCCCACAGAACCTGACCCCACGGCATTTTGGAGTGGAAAACGAAGCCCCCAATCTTCTTACTGGAGCCTCATCCTTTCCAGACCCAGCAGGGACTTCACACGGGCTCATTAAACTCGCAAATAACAGACTTGCTGTTTGGCTTTAGGGCTTGGGATTGTGTCTTTCTCTTTTTTTAAGCAAAAAAAGGTATTTATTTTCAGGGCGGACACCAGGGTTTTTGTTTCATGTACAGCCTGGGGACTGGGGGGCTTTTGGAGTGGTGGTGCTGGAGGGGCAGATGGGGTTGGGGGAAGAAAGGAAAAGGAGAGTGGGAGAGGGGAAGGGAGGGGGTCCCCACACAGGTCCCCCCTCACTCCCTGGCTCATGCCCCCCGAGGCCCCTGTGGACCCCCCCATCACCCTCCATCCCCCCCCCCCACCTGAAACATCTTCCCTCCTTGGTTTCCCCTTAAGCTTCTGTCCCCCACCTCAGGCTGTTCCTGCCAAACCTCTCTAAAGAGCAGCCCTATAATTACACCCTGTGCTTGTACAACAAATGTTCTCACATCCATGACCTCATCATGGCCTCCCACGGCCCTGGAGGAGGCAGGTGGGGCTCTCTGTTCTTGCTGCACAGGTGGAGAAACTGAGGCTCAGAGAGGGAAAGTGACTTACTTGGGGTCACACAGGGAATTATAGCAGATTGAGACTCAGACCCAAGCCTGCCTGATACAAAGGATGGCTCTCTGTACACTCCAAGGCCCACCTGAAACATCTTCCCTACTTGGTTTCCCCTTAAGCTTCTGTCCCCCACCTCAGGCTGTTCCTGCCAAACCTCTCTAAAGAGCAGCCCTATAATTACACCCTGTGCTTGTACAACAAATGTTCTCACATCCATGACCTCATCATGGCCTCCCACGGCCCTGGAGGAGGCAGGTGGGGCTCTCTGTTCTTGCTGCACAGGTGGAGAAACTGAGGCTCAGAGAGGGAAAAGGACTTGCCCCAGGCTGTGTGTCGGCTGAAGGCAAAGCCAATGTGGGTGGCTTGGCCTCAGATGTCTGCTCTCTAAGAGGGATCAACAGGACTGTCCTGCAAGGGGGTGCTTAATCCACTGCTGGGAAAAGGGAAGACATGGGTTGGTAGAGGAGCCAGGTGGCACCCCAAATTGGGGGTGGGGTAGGGAAGTATTGCATGGAGGGCAGAGCGTAGGTGAGTCTGGTGGTGGGGAAGGGTGGGTGGGGGCTGGGGGCTTTCTCCAAGCCTTGCTGAGTCCCCATTCCATGCTCGGGGGCCAGAGCCCCCCTGTCCCCCCACCAGCCCCATGCAGTAGGTAATAAAAGCCTGAAAAAGGAATAAGCCAGAAATTCTTCTTTTATTTTTTTTAAAGATGACCAGTAAGGGGATCTTAACCCTTGACTTGGTGTTGTCAGCACCACTCTCCCAAGTGAGCCACAGGCCGGTTCCTCAGAAGTTCTCCATTTGAGCATAAGGTGGACTACATCAGCATACACAAGCCTGCTCAGAATGCTGAAGCGTGTTTCGGGCAAGGATATATGACCAACATATAAATGCCACTGCTTTCTGATCACTCACTAGGCACCAGGCCCGGTGCTGAGCTCTACAGGGGTTGTCCTACTTAGTTCTTGCAATGGGCTTACAAGGCAGGTATAGTTCACCAAGGGCTTGTGAAAGAGTAGGCTCAGAGAGGTTAAGTAACTGACCCAAGGTCACACACATAGCAAAAGGCAGGGCAAGGACTGGAACCCAGGAAGTTTCAACATGAAGGCTTGTGCTAACCACTGGACTACCAGCTCTTCTCTGGGCATGTTGTTTGAGTGTACAAACACGTGCCTGTCTGTGCATGTGTGAATATGCAGGGCAGGTCCTCCTCTCAATGGCCACTGTGCCACCCCTGTCTCCTGTGTTGAGGGGGAGGGTGGCATAGTGCCAGGTCCCAATTTATGGAATAATCCCTGGGCGCCCGGTTTTTGGGGTGTGGTGGCGGCCACATGAGCGTTCACCCCTCAGCCCCACCGCAGAGAAATCCTCCAGTGCCTGCCTGCCCCAACCGCAAATCCCCTAATGGGCTGAGAGCCCTCCCAGGTGTGTGGGGAGCCAGGCCAGGCTGCTTTTCCCGGGCCAGCCTGGGCCTGAGGCCTCCTGCCCACCAGAGGCCCCGCCTCACAAGCCCCGTCCCTGTCCCAGCCGTGTTCCACACTCACATCAATGTCCCTGATGTTGTGCATGAGCTGGTAGGCGATGTCCTTGCAGCCCTGGCTCAGAGCCTCAGGGGGCATCTCATTGTCTGAGTACCAGTCCCGGTCAGCTGAGTGGGCGTAGGCGGCGCTGGGGGTGGCGTGGTTCACTCGTGTGGTTGTCACAATGCCCACAGATTTCCCTGGGGTATGGGAGGGGAGGGGTTGGCTTCATCTGCACATACGGGTATTCCAATTGCCTTCTCTCTCCCTCCCCCAGCTAAAGACTGGCCTCCCATCAGTTCCACCAATTGCCAGGGCCTCAGTCTCCCCTTCTGTACAAAGGGGGACCATGGCTTCCAAATAGCCTGACAGCTGGGACATTCTGCCTCTGTGACCCTCTCCCCACACCCTGGGGCCCTTGAGCTGTGAGCACCGGGCCAGAGTCCTCCCCTCCATCAAGGACCCCACCGAGCCCCACTCCTGCAGGAAGTCCCCCAGGGGCCTCCTAAGGGATCTCAGGTGGAGCGTGGTTCCCTCACCTGAGTCAGCTGGCCTTGTCCCCTCCCTCCAAAGTTCCTGGGGGCAAGGGCCAGGGCCTCCCAATTCCAAGGAGGAAGGAGTAGACATTTACTGATCCTCACCAGGCTGGTCCTGGGCTGGGTCCTCTACCCTCCTCTCTCACCAAACCTACGAGGGGGCTACATTTTAGTGCCCATTTTATACTCAAGGAAATGAGCTGGGATCCATGTCACCCCCTGGATCACTAGACTTCCCTGTCTGGAAGGGATTCCACGAATACTTCACAGATACCCAGAGCATCAGAGCTGGGAGCCCTCAAGAGCATCTTTTTCTGCCCTCTCCCCATTGTACAGTTGGGAAGACTGAGGCCCAGACAGACCACGGAGCTGGCCCCGTTCCCCGCCACTGCTGCACTCACCGGCATCCTTGGCCCAGCGCAGGATGGAGGTGACCTCGTTCCCCTGAGTTGTGTTGCAGAGGGAGCGCTCAGTCGCCGCGCTCACCCCCACGGTGCCCTCATTGGCCTTCACCCCACACAAGTAGGCGGTGGCAGTGCCTGCACTGTCGGGGACCTGAGCATTGGTGTTGTATGTCTGCACGTGGGAGAGAAGGGTCAGGAGATGGCCAGGCCTTGGTCCCCACTGTTGCCCACCCCACCTGCACTCACACCATGGGGACTGAGGCTTGAGGGGCAAAGAGTGGTCCCCCCTAGCCACAGGATCACCTAGCTGTCTGCTCCTACCCCCATTCCCTGCACCCTGGCAGCAAAGGGCAGCAGGAAGGGGTGGGAACCAAACTCTCCAGCATCTGGAGAAGTGTTTGGCAGAAGAGCCAGGGGTCAGGCTGGGTCAGCGGAGGCCTCTCTCTGGGTCTTGGCTGCAGAGCCAGCAAGTGGGGGATCAGGTGAGTCCTGGAGGTGGGGGTTCTTGAAGGAGTAGGGGTGCTGGGGGGAGGGGAGGAAGAGGATAGGAGGGCGCATGGGAGGGTGGGACGAGAGGCCAGTGCTGACTCCTCTGCCCACCTCCCTGCTGGCTGCCCCCTGTTCAGACCTCTAGTAAAGATCCTGAAACTACTCGCCTGTCTCCCTTCCCCAGCAGCCTGAGAGCTCCTGAAGGCACAGGAAACATCAGTGTCCCTTCTGTTCCCCAGAAGGGAGCCTGGGACCTGATCCACAGTGTCTGGAGGATGTTTATTACATATCCCCACCACCACCAGTAACAATGGCTACTGCTACTACACACTGCATGCAACAACATCCATTGATAATCTAATTTCACTGTGTGAACCACCTTGGGAGAGAACGAGAGAACTAGAACCATGTGCAAAGAAGTATACACTGCATGATTCCATTTATGAAAAATACAAAAGCAGGCACAGATAATCCACGGTGTTAGAAGTCAGGATGGTGGCTACTCTTGGTGGGAAGAGGGACTGCAGGGGGGCTTGAGGGGACCTCTGGATGCTGTCAATTGCTTGACCTGGATGCTGGTTATACAGACACGTGCAGTTTGTGAAAACACAAGCTGTACACGTGTGCACTTTTTCTATGTATGTTGCACTTCAATAAAAAGATTTTTCACATCAGTGAGTTAAAAGCCTCAAAATAAATCTTTGGACGTGGCTGCTGCCCTCCTTGTTTCACAGGGGGGCCCCAGGGCCCCAGGAGGGCAGGCCGCCTCGCCGGGGCCTGCAGCAGGCTTAGAGGCAGGTCTAGCAGACGCCACGCCCTGGCTCTTCCCTCCACGTTACCAAGTTGAGAGATGGGATGCTTGGGTCAGGTGGGCCTGGGACTGGGGCTCACCTTAGAGAGGGCCACAAAGGGGAACTTGTCCATCTCCAGCGTGGTCTCCTCCCCAGGGTTGTGGTGGAGCTGACCCTTGAGGATGCGGGCGGCTGTCACCGTGGATACGCCCATCCCTGTGGCAGGGAGTGGGGGGCCTCAGTCTCTTGGGCTCCCTGCCTCTCCCATCAGCTTTCTTGGGTACCTAGAGCTCTCTTAGTTTGATGTCAAAGCAGGCTTGGGCAGTGGGCACCAGACATGGCTCTGTAAGTGTGACCAGGCAGCCCCTCTTCGACTTCCCTCCCCAGAACCTCAGGGGACCGCTTGGCAGAGAAGACCTCTTGGGTCCACAGCCTGGCCCCCATCTTAAATACCACCCACGCAGGGCCCAGCCTCTTCAGCATGGCCCCTGTCACCGCAGCCTGGCTCCCTGGGCTCCTACTTAGGTGGCCCCGTCCAGCCCCTCCCTCGGGCCCCCAGGCCTCACCGTCTCCCAGGAACATGATGACATTCTTAGCCACGTTGGTGTTGAGCTTCTGAAGCCCCAGGGCATTTTTCAGGGTCTGCTGAGCTTGGTCTCGCCAGTACTTGGGGTCTTTCTCTTTCTCTGTACGGAGAGAGAGTCAGAGTTACTTGGTAGGGGGCGAGGGCAGCTTCTCATCCCCCGATTTACAGATACCCCGACATCTCATTGCTGAGGGCTGGAAGGCCTGAACTTGGAGCAGGAAGCAAGCGGTGCCCATCTCAAGCAACACACCTTGGGGTGTGTAAACATGTGCCAGTCATATCCTCCAAACAAGCCTGTGGATCCTGGGGTCTTCTTCCCTCATCACAGAATGAAGAAACCAAGGCTCAGAGACACCAAGTGACTCGCTCAAGGCCACACAGCACTGGCAGACACTGGCAGAGCTGGGCTTCACTCCAAAGCCAGCGCTCTTTCCTTTCACCCAGTAGAGACATTCTGCTAAGGCAGCAAACGAATTGTGCTAGCATAATTAGGAGGGTAATGTTTAACCTATTCAACAGAACAAGCTACTTGAGCAGTCCCCAGAGGTATGGAGCTACCAGTGATAAACTCTACTTGGCTTTTTCATTCAAGTAGGTTCAGCAGGAACCTGACTTGGCAACAGCATTAATAGCAGTGCTGGAAAGCAAGACTTGCCTTTTGCTTAACATATCAAATTTACAGTAACCATGCAATCTTACTCTGGTTAGGATCAATTAGCAAGAAGGATGTCCTGCGTCCCTAATCCCCCATCCATCACTCGGTGCCCATAACAGCTCCCATTTGGACAGCACTGTGTGGATTTTGAGATAAAATGAGAACTAGGAACACTCTCCTCTCTCTCTTTCTCTCTCTCTCTCTCTCTCTCTCTGGTGTGTGCATGTGTGTCCAGCTTTAGTGTCTGACAGACTTCAATGAAAACCCCTGTGCTGTGCCAAGTACCAGCTGTGTGACTGCACAAGTCACCTCTCTGAGCCTCAGTTTCCTCCCCTGTCCAGTGAGGTTGTTTGTACCGTCATCCCAGTGTCGATACAAAGACTGGACTGGATAATGCAAGTGCTATACCTGACCCACAGGAGAGGGTCACAAGTTTCCCCCACCCCCCTCCCTTTAATCCTACCTCCAGGGCTGGAATCCCTTTTCTTCCAAGCAGAGGACCAGGGTCCTGCCCATGGGAGTCAGATCCTTGCCACTGCCCACAGGGCTTTCCTCTGTACTCAGGCCCCATCAAACCTGCCCATCGGAACACCAAAGCCTAGAGATGGAAGCGCCTTGGACATTCCCTCTCTCAAGGGTAATGTTTAACCTATTCAACAGAACAAGCTACTTGAGCAGTCCCCAGAGGTATGGAGCCACCAGTGATAAACTCTACTTGGCTTATTCATTCAAGTAGGTTCGCAGGAACCTGACTTGGCAACAGCATTAATAGCAGTGCTGGAAAGCAAGACTTGCCTTTTGCTTAACATATCAAATTTACAGTAACCATGCAATCTTACTCTGGTTAGGATCAATTAGCAAGAAGGATGTCCTGCGTCCCTAATCCCCCATCCATCACTCGGTGCCCATAACAGCTCCCATTTGGACAGCACTGTGTGGATTTTGAGATAAAATGAGAACTAGGAACACTCTCCTCTCTCTCTTTCTCTCTCTCTCTCTCTCTCTCTCTGGTGTGTGCATGTGTGTCCAGCTTTAGTGTCTGACAGACTTCAATGAAAACCCCTGTGCTGTGCCAAGTACCAGCTGTGTGACTGCACAAGTCACCTCTCTGAGCCTCAGTTTCCTCCCCTGTCCAGTGAGGTTGTTTGTACCGTCATCCCAGTGTCGATACAAAGACTGGACTGGATAATGCAAGTGCTATACCTGACCCACAGGAGAGGGTCACAAGTTTCCCCCACCCCTCTCCCTTTAATCCTACCTCCAGGGCTGGAATCCCTTTTCTTCCAAGCAGAGGACCAGGGTCCTGCCCATGGGAGTCAGATCCTTGCCACTGCCCACAGGGCTTTCCTCTGTACTCAGGCCCCATCAAACCTGCCCATCGGAACACCAAAGCCTAGAGATGGAAGCGCCTTGGACATTCCCTCTCTCGATGGCCTCGCACTGCCTAGAGGGGAAGGCTGGGGTCAGGAGAGAGGGGAGGGTTCTGTCCAAAGCCATGTTGCATGCTCATGGGCTGGGGACACGCTCATCTTTTGGCCCAGCTCAGGCCCATGCGTGCCTCTAGGACAGCTGCGGGTGGAGAGAACAGCTCTCCATTCTTACACAGGCACGGTGTCTGGGCGATGTGCCAAGTGCTCCACACAGCAGCGTCTCCTTTCATCCGCCCAGCAGCCTCGCAGGGTGGGTACCATTATTTCCTCCCCACGAGGACAGGAAGAAATGGA